GGTGGGATTGGCTGCGCTGCAGCCGAGCCGAGCCGAGCAGAGCAGGGCCGGGGCGAGCGCGGCCTCTGTGCGGGCCCCCTCGGCAGCGTTCATCCTAGGCTCTCGGCCTTCCCACCGCGGCCCTGCCCCGCACTCTCAAAACCCTCCGGGCTCTGCAGCGACCTGCCCGCTCCTCGGTCTTTGCGGCCCGGCCTGGGGGCCACTTCACCTCTGAAGGCTCCCACAAGCGCTGGGGTCCACCGCGTTTCCAGATTGCTCCCCGGTCCCCATTAAAAAGAAATTAACACAACAGAGTCTGTTTCTGGAAGGGTTTTTTTTTCATTTTTTTCCTTTTTTTTAAGAGCTTCATATATATATTTATATATATAAATTATTAGAATGTGTGTTGGGGCTTGGGAGTGTGTGGGAAACTTTGGGTGTTTTTCCATAGTTGGGTTGGGTTTTTTTTTTTGTTTTGTTTTTTCATGTTTAAGTAAATATATATATGGGGACCAATTGAGATATACAACTGTGAAATCAGACACGCACGCAGGGGTAAGGGAGTCACAAATTGCTACATAAAACTGCCACGTCTAATAGGATGTGCATGAGTTAAAGTACATCAATTAGAATGGGTGAGGTGAAAGGGGCGGCCACCTTTGCAAAGGGAGTACCGGTCTGCGGGTCTCTCGACCGAATGGGTCAGCTCTCCCAGTGGGGTTCAAAGGGGCAGAGGCTTTCGCAGTCACTGAAACAGTTCCGTGGTGCTTTGCACCGCATGGCCCGATCCACTCCCTTGAGGCAAGAGAAAGCACAGCCACCATCTCACAAACAGTCTCATGGTGCTTTGCACCCCAACGGCTAGGCCCAGTCCCTCAGTGATTTACTGGATAGGCAGAAGTGGCCATTTCTGAAGGGGTCCCATCATGTTTGCTTCGTATCTGACAGGATTTTTGGAAATTGGGAAGCCACCCTGGCTTATGAAAAGGTTGCATGTTGCTTTTTTGTTGTATGTGTCACAAAGCTGTATCTTACATCTAGGGTAGGGGGAGTGAGGAGGCATCTTGAAAAGAAGCTCCATCTGGTTCAGAGTTGCTTCTTGGACACACCTCACAGAAGCAGAAAGGACAGCAGCGTCATGTACGTGAAGTCCTTTGATGCTCTGCGTTGTTTTTATTTAACACAACTCTTCCCCCAAAAGAAAGGATTGAGCAGCTGCAATCTTGAATATCCATTAATCTTTGTCTTTTTGAGCTCTCTGCAATGCTGATTTTGTTCCCTTCGAAGCTCTGCTGAAATTATGTACCAATCAATCCATGTCCTTTAGTGTTATTTCAGTTCCTCCCCATTTTCTCTCCTTTCTGCTCCCATGATGCCATTCTGTACTCTTCGTCCATTCTGCTCTTGCAATGTACTGCACTGTAGGATCAGGGTGTGTTACTCTGCAGGTTCCCCTCACCCAGGATTTGGTTGATCAATTGCTTCTCTTAAGAGAAAGACATGATGATGCTGCAATGAGGGTAGGAGTCCATTTAAAGGGGTTTGTCACTTTCTTTCTTCAGGTGACTAGGAGAAAGAAGAACAAGGTGATTGTGAGAGGAAAAATTAAAAAAAAAAAGGAGAGGGGGAAATAATTTAGTACTGTGCAGTGCATTTGGTTAGTCTAGTCCCTCATGACAATGCTGGCTTGGAAAGATTTTCAAAATAAAATCTTAAGGTAGCAGATGCTATCTATGCACCCTTCCTTTTCCCAGTATGTTTCCCTGTGCACTTGCAGAACCCCACCTAGGACAGAGCATCCAATCCTTGTGAATATATGGTGGTTTTGCAAAGGTCTCAGTTAGCAATAACTATAATAGCATCTGCGAAACAGGCAAGTTTACTCTGCAGGGAAAGGAGCTGAGACCCCATACAAGAGATTAGCCTACAGGCCACTGAATCGCCAGCCACCGGCCAGGTGTGACCTTCATCACGGCCAGCCCATAGCCGTGCCCCAGTGGCAAGGAATCCATAATCTCGGACATGGGGTCAAGGCTGGAGTGAATCACTTAAGCAGAAACGCTTCCTTGGTCCCACTTCTGCCACGCTCGGGCCACGGCTGGCTCCAGGCTTGCAGCGTGAGGTTGAAGCCCTCTGCGCGCCCAGCGCCACGGAGCACCTGTAGTAATCCTCCTGCGTCGGGAGCGGCACTCCGTGCAGAGGGTGGTGGGCATGAAGCCACTGCTGCTGCTCCAGAGCCAAGCGCTGCAGCTCAGCTGACTGTGCGTGCATGGCCTGGAGCTGATGTGCTGCTGACATGGGTGCAGAGAGGGAGCCCGGCAGATCCCTGTAGGGTGCAGCTGCAGCCAAAGACAACAAAAGAATTAAAAAGTTAATGTAAAAGCCCCATCCTAATCCACATCCCCATAGCTAAGCCTTTATTGCACTTTTCCAGTCCTGCCGGTGAACAAGATTTCCTGATGCCCTGATACTACAGGGCTGCCCTTTGCTATGACAGAGCTCTGTTAATAGTATGGTTTTGTGACCCCCCCACCCTGCCCACTGCAGCTCTGCTGGTGCTCTTTAGAGAAGACTAAGCTTCTCTAAAGAAAGCAAGCTTACCAAAAAGCTGGTGGCGCAGCACTTCGTTCTCATGTAAGGGGTGAGGAAGGAGTGGGTTGGGGATGGTTCCTGCTGGGTATGGTATCCGGGTGAGATGCGATCCCGAGGCAAGTGGGTCAATAAGAGGGTGAACAGAAGCTGAAGCTGGGAAGAAAAAACATGAAAAGATAATTGCCCCACACTTTGTAAGGTGCAGTAAAACAGACAGACACAGAAAAGTGCCTATTAGGGGTGGTACGATTGCAAGGACAATGCAGCAACATTTTCTTCTCAGCATATTCCTTCAGCCAGCACTGAATTTCATGTGGACTAGCACAGCATAGCTCCGTCCCTGTCACACCAGCTGGGTATTCAGACATTTTGATACTCCCTGGGGAGCTCTGTTCCTTAAGAGTTGTTTCTGTGAGAACCTGCTCAGCAATTGAGTCTTTACCCAGCACTGTACTCATATGCTGTATCAGCTGCCATTCAAATCTGTACTTATATTGGGTGCTTCCATTTCCAGCTCCCATCAAGTATTCCAGGTCCCATTTCAAGTATTATCTAAGTCCGAAATGCAAGACATTATATATGACAACTGCTCTTTCCAGGTAATCAAATCCCTTAGTATTTTGGACTCACTGTCCAGATGCTGCCTGGAGGCACACAGCTATACTGCATGGATGAATGGCTGTTCCCCAATACCCAGTGCCACTCCAAGTAGTTGCAATTACAGTAATAGGTGTTGGTTTGTGACCATCATCAAGTCCTGCTGACCTCTCATGATGCTCAAATAGGCACAGCACTATTTATTTATTTATTTTCTATTATACTGTTGTTTGGGCTTTGTTTCCCTGCAATTTTTGTCATTTTTTTTCTCATGTAGTATGTGGAAATGGAAGAGAGCGAGACTCAACTCTGAAGGTCAACAGCCTTCCAGTTTCTTTCATAATTATATGCCAACCTAAAGCTAATCTTCTCTCCCACTATTCCCCACCATGTGCAGCAAGAGCCATAGGAGGAAACTAGAGCCAACATTTCATTAGGTTTAAGGGTATCTCTGAACCTGTTGCTAGCATGGTCCCCATTCTCTCTGCAGACCAGTCTGGGAACTACAGGCAGTAGCACCACCACCCTTGTTAGCCAGTGTCACCCCAGCATTCATAGCATTCCCATAGATCCCGACCCAAAAGACATGGTGCAAATAGCTCTGTTCTCAGCTAAGCAACAAACTCACAGATACGCTGATACTTGCAGTAGATGTCAGGGTCTTTGGTGTGATGGCAGTGAGGGGTAGGCTTAATGACCATGGTATTGACCTTTTTTCTGGCTGGAGAGATGGACCTGGGGCCCTCAAAATCTAGGCACAAGAGGTCTCTTGGGCTTCCCCAGAGCCAGATGGAGGAAGCACAAGGAGGGTGTAGTTAGGAAGCACAGCACTGCTCTACGCAAGACACACAGCCTGTGCTGCACTTTCTGTACAGTCCTTACCTGCATGTATAGCATCCTGCTGGTGAAGATGGAGGTGGGAGTGGATGTGGGAATGCTGATGATGATGCGGTGTCACATTGAGCATCTGGAGCCGGGCCAGAGGGTCATTGCTGAGAGCAGCCACCCGCTCCGCGTGCTGTCGCTCGGCTGCCAAACGCTCAGCATAGGACATGTCAGGACGAAGGGCAGGGCCAGCTGCCAGCCCCAGCCTCTCCCGCTCCAAGTGGCCCAGCCCTGGATGGAAGGGAAAAGCAGGATGAAGGCCAGGGGCTGTCTGCAGACTCAGCCCGCCATGGCGTGGGAAAGGATCCATGGCAGCAGCTGGCACGGCATGAAGCTGCTCCAACTCAGCTGGCTTGACTTCAAACCCAGGCTTGAGACGTTCACGCAGGTCTCGGTCCCTCAGGTCTCGTTCACGGGCTTCTCGTTCCCTCAACTCTCGCTCCCGTGTAGCTGGGTCACTGCTGTAGATGGCCGGCACATTGTACCCCAGCAAGCCTGGGTCAACAGCACCCAAGGGCACGTAAAAGGGGTGGTTGCGGTTGCTGGGGGACATAACGTGTGGCCGTGCGTATTCACTGAGGGTGCGCAGAGCCGGGGTATCAGGGCCTAGGTATGGGGGAACAGTTGCTACAGCACTGCCCTGCTCAAAGGAGGGGCGGTGGGGAACAGGCCCAAGAGTTGAGCATTCAACTGGCCGACCCTCCTGGGCCATCTTCTGTAAGAGAGGAGAGAAACAAGCATCTCATTGCCACAGTCCCAAGACAGAGTGGCCCAAACATCAGCCCCTGCTCCACTCCAATGGAGCGAGCACCATCACACCTACCACACTTCTCTCCTCCTTCTCTCTTGCCCTCTCCTTCTCCCTCTCCCGCTCCCTCTCTCGTTCCTTCTCCTCACGGGCCTTCTGCTCAGCCTCTCTCCGGACTTTTTCCACCAAGTCTGCCCTTTTCTTGGCCAGCTTGGAGCCATCAAGGGGTACAAAGTACAGGTCTGTGCGGGAACAGGAGTTGAAGCCACGGTCCAGGTGTTTGTTGAATCTGAGGGGAACAAGTGAGGTTTGTCAGTACTAGGCAGGGGGGCTGAGGGAAAAGTGAAAGCTCAACACTGCACTTTGATAAGGGAAGGGCAGAGATGGTTCATTAGTAGGGCAATAGCGCGCAGCAACATCCCATATGTTTGGGGCAACCTCCTCTTCCTCACCCCATACATCCCTGCTGACCAGGCCCCTGTGCAGATATTCCTTTGTTGCTCCCTGAGGTGGACTGATTCACAATGGAAAAGCCCAGCTAGGCTGCAAAGAGGTAGTGAACAAACTCCAAAAGCAGCATCCATACTCCAGAAGCTCTGCTCCAAGGAGAAGAGTTGCGGTACTCTCCTGCAAGCATCCCAGATAGGTGGGGCTACAAGGGCTGGCCGAGCACTCAGGTATATACATATGCTCTAATATCAGATACTGGAGCCAGGCGGCGGCTAACCATCCTTTAGCTCCTCTAGGTTGATACCAGGGACTGCACTAGTCCAGCTGTGCCTGCTCTCCAAAGAGGTCCATTTCCACCTGGGAAACCCCAAGAGAACATCCTTTCCCTTTCACGCCCCTTTCTCTATCTTCCCTTGAAGTTTGTGTGACTCTCCCTCTTCAGCACATCTCCAGCTCCGCCCCCCCTCCCCCATACCTGGCTGACTGGCTGGCATGGCTGGGAACATCCACCACCTTGGGGGGCGGTGAAGGGCTGCGAGCCGGTGGCATGGGGCTCTCAGGGGGCTCGTACTCCTCCGACGGCTCCTGCTTGATCTGCGCTGCGCTCAGTGGGAGCGGGGGCAGTGGGGGCGCAGGGGCGCCCATGCTGCCTGGCAGCAAGGGGGTGGCTGGGGCAGGGGAGGGGGCTTTGTAGCTACCCATCACAGGGGAAGACGTCATGCGGTAGCCAGGAGGGGTGGCCACGCGGAAGGAGGAGGCAGAGGACACGGGTGGTGAACCTGGCTTGTAGGGGGCTGGAGGTTGGAAGGTAGGGACAGGGGATGACGCTCGCTTCCCATAGGGGGCTATGGCTGAGGGGGGCAGGGGAGGTGACAC